CACACACACACACACACACACACACACACAGAGCCTGCCAAAAAAATGTATACACACTTCAGCAGTTCACTATACTAATAATGTCTGGAAGATAATGGTCACCACTTTGAGTACCTCTTGTAATTGTGGAGGCCAAAGGTAACTTGCATTAATCTCATGATGTCTCAATAAATTTAGTATTAAAATATGCATGCAAGTTTTTCTTTTCTTGATGTATACTTTTTGGTAGAATCAATCTGTCAATCTATCTACTTACCTACCTATCTACCTACCTATCTACCTACCTGTCTCTCTTGGCTCATGAACTCAATTCTCTCCATGATTCTGGTTGCAAATCAAACTGGACAAGAACCTAATCAAGTTTCCCCATAAGGTCAACATTGAACCTAACAATTGAATTTGATTTAGTTCTTGTCCAACTCAATTTGCAACCAGAATCATGGAAAGAATCAAATCTGTGAACTGAGGTGCCATTGTGTGTGTGTGTATGTGTGTATGTATGCTTCTCATGTAAGAGAATATGGCATGGTTGAACTTGTGTGTCTGACTTATTTCACTTAACATTATGTTTTCAAGGTGCATTCATTTACCTATGAATGCCTCAATTTATCTTTATGGCGGAATAGTAAAAATACTTAAATTCTGTGGTGCAGATTGAATGTCATTTTAATCATACTACCTGATGGCCATTCATTCAGTAAACAATCTCCAGCTTGGATTGGGTGTACCTCTTCATGCGATAATGTTGAGCTGGATCCCTGACCTCATTGGATCCACACCCATGTCCTTAGAGGCTGCTGGCTCTCTAAGAATCAAGCCAGGGTTTAGAGGCAGTGAGATGTGTTTTATTTTTGTGTTGAAAGAGTTCTGGCAAACACAACCATACACGGCTCTCTTGAGTAGAAAAACCTCAACTTTGGGGAGGGAGTGTAAAGAATGTGACCTACTTTATTTCCTTGGTTTCCCAAATGTCCTTGATTCCCCACCTCTCCTCCAGGTCCTGGAGGCCCCTGAAACAAAACAAGCATTGCAAATATAGCAAAACATAAAGCTATTTTCCTTTAAAACTTTTGAGTTTCTTCTAAGAGGAAAACAAATTACAGATGGGAGAAGAATTATGGCTATACTGATTCCTCCTCTGGAAAAAAGTATTGCAGCTGTCAAATAAAGACTGGTAAATAAAAGAAAATTAATAAAGTAATGCATGCCAGATGTTGCCTAAATGATTATGCTTCCTTATGAGACTTCTCTTCTAGAGAGATTTTAGGTTCTCAATGTTTTGTTCTGAGAGCAGATGTTGCTAAAATGTCTAACACTTGAAAAAGGCAGTCCAAGTGACATCTGCATTTTAAGAAATGCTTTCTACCAAAGAAAGAGATCAGTCTTTTTTAAAAATGTAAACTTGTCTTTATTTTCAAACAATATGATTTGTAAATTAGAAAGCTCAAGAAATTTTACCAAGCACAATTGGAATGGACTGGAGGTACAGCCCAGTGACAGAGTGCTTGCCTAGCATGAAGAAGGCCCTGGGTTCATCTCTGGTACCACAAACAAAACAAAACAAATCGTACTCAAGAAATGCAGGGTTAATATTTAGAAATAGCTTTCAGGAAGTACAAGAAACTAGTAGTTAGAAAAATAAGTGTAAATAAATATCCAATTACCAAAAGGAGAAAAAAATAGAATACTTAAGATAAATTTAACAAGAATGATGAAAAACCTACATAGAGCTTTAAGATTTTATTGAAACTTAATAACAAAATTTATAAAGATGAATAAACATAACATACATCTATATGGAGAGTCTATTAGATATAATAGAAGTAGATCCTTCCAGCATTTTAGAAAGTAAGTTTTATTGGAACAGCTTTAGAACTGAATATTTTAAAATGCCAATTCAGAGACCATACAACAGCCTTCCTTTATTATTAATAGTTGGGATCAGATTTTTTCCTTTGGGATATCCAAGCACACATCAAGAGAAATCTCTTTTGGTAAAATTTTGCAGGTACTTCTAGGCAATCCCAACACCAGTGAATTGAAATCATTTTCACAGTTTTTGGTTATGGTTTCTTAATTTAAAACTAAATAAGACAATCCTGTGTAATAAGCATAATACTTAGCAAATTATTTTGTTTGGAACAGAATTGTGACATTAATCTTTTCATTCTTTTTCTTTTCTTTTTTTTTGGTACCAAGGATTGAACTCAGGACCTTGTGCTTGAAAGGCAGGCGCTGGAACCACTGAGCTAAATCCCCGGCCCCTATCTTTTCATTCTTTAAAAACCTGAAAATATAAGAAGTTACACAAGAGTAATTTCCTAAGAAGGATTGTTAAACAGTGAAATGATTATGAATGAAGGTAATTTTTCCACAATTCCCCATCTTTGCCCCCTCCTTTTTCAATCTTAAAGGAAAAGTCTAAATTTTTCACCTCTGTAGACAGTTCAGAATCCATTCCCATTGCATTTTCACCTATACCGCTGTGTGGCACCAACTCCCATGACCTTCATGTCCAAACTAGGTAACAATTTTTTGCATTTACCTTATCAGAGTTTGATGATGTGTTCTTTGACACTTTTCCATTCACTTCTGTGATATCAAGTTACATGGTCCTTGTGCTCCCTCTCCATTCTCTTCTCACTAACTTTCGGAGACAACCCTTCTTTTATGTGCCTTGTAGATCTTCACCCTCTGTTTTTTGTTTGTTTTTTGTTTTTGGTACCAGGGACTGAACTCAGGACCTTCCAGTTGCGAGGCAGGTGGCGGAACCACTGAGCTAAATCCCCGGCCCCTCACCCTCTGTATTTGAGTAGCAGTCCTACAAAGTCACGTACTATTTCTACCTGATTACTCTTATATCATGCATCTCCAGTCAAACCACTTACCTAAATATCAAATGCATCAAAAGATGTCTATTGGATATCCCATAGGAATTATTAAAAACATTCATGTTTACCTTAAGTCATGTATCCAGTCTCATGTTCTGCTCATCAGTGTTGGTGCCATCCTTTATTCCAACTGAAACTCAAGCCAAACCCCTCAGTCTAGCCCAGCCCTCCAAGCCCCTCCTCTAGTCATGCAGGAGCCATCCCCTGTCTGTGTGCGCCCTCTTCATCCCCACTGCCATCCCTTGCTTCCAGGACCCTTTCACACTCCACCTGTACTCCACGCTTTCCCAACTGTGTTCTGGCTTTTGTCTACTCCACTATCCATCCTTTTATCTGAGATTTAAGGTATCAGGCTGATGCTGCCTCTGTCTTGTCTGAAATTCTGAATTCCGAGCAGCTTTCAGAATAAAGTTGAGGGTCTTCTTAGTCTGTCTCTCAAAATTTTGCCTCTATAGCATCATCTTCAGTGACTACTCCAGTCACCGTGTGCATAGACCTAAGTCACGGAATACTCCACACATAGCACCACTGCTTTCCTTAGCTGGCCCACTTCTTCCAAGAGGGAGAGATGTAGTCTCTGTCTTCCAAAAAATAATGTTACTATTACTGTTCCAGGAAAAAGAACTGAATTTCCAGGTTTATTGGGTCTCACACTTGTCTGGCAGATCCCCTATAATTGTTAATTTGTTTCTCTGTCTTGTTCACTAGCGACTAGACTGTATGTACATTCTTGAAGGAAGAGGCATATTCTATTGTTTTCTTGCAATCTGGAACATCATATAGCACTCCGAACCCATCAATCCATTCACCTTTCTATTCTGTTCTGTTATCTATCCAGGAATGATCTCCAACAGGGATGAAATAATATGCTTTATTTTTTGGTTTTCTCTATAAAGTTTTCATGTGATACAGAGGGAAAAAGTAGAGAGATTTTGATTGTCCTTGAAAACAAGGTGTAAACTGGAAGTTCTGTCTAGAACAGTGGTGCTGAACCTACAGCAGGCATGTTATTGTATTTTTCTTTTAAGACAAAAGATGCTAATGTATGAGTAGTTTTTTCTAAACTAAAACCTCATATTCAGGTTCAATTGCAGTGTTGGCACTCTGCAAGAAGTAAGTGGGTTTTGAGTTGCAGTTTGACACTTGGTCTCTAAAAGGTTCACCATCATGTTCTAGAAGCCTGCTTTCCATGTTTCCTCCAGACATCTGGACACTGAGATGGAGGAGATTCTGAAAGGTCATTTCTTATGAAGTCACCCAAAACACATATAAGCATGATAAGAGTTGTTTTAAGAACCTCCAAAATAGGGCCGGGGATTTAGCTCAGCGGTTTTGCAGCCTGCTGGGCAAGCACAAGGACCTCAGTTTGATTCCTGGTACCCAAAAAAAAAAAAAAAGAACCTCCAAAATAAAAGATCTTTTGGATGGATGTACCATATTTCCTCCAAAAAAGACCTAATCAGAAAATAAGCCCTAGTATAATTTTTCAGGATGCCTATAATGTAAATCCTACCCCCAAATAGGTCCCAGGTAAGACTGTCAGCCAGATGGATGCATTTAGTACGTCCACTGCAACACATAACAGACATGTTGAGGTATAAAATACTATTGTATTACTATATAAATATTATTGACACTAGTACTTAAAATAAATAATATAAATTATAATTAAGTGCATGTATTTGTAAATATACAAGTATGTGCCATTGGACAAGAGGTAAACACCTATGTAAATAGATGAACTCAAGACTTACCTGCACTGCTGAATGACACATCGGAATGTAGATACAATTCAGGAATAATGTGTACCCTTGATAATGACCAGATGTGGTTGAGTCTAATATGAATCTTCATAATTCAATATGCTGTGTTGTAACAGATGTACTTAATGTACTTGTGTGAAATAAAAAAATGTTTTCTGAATTTTGATCCCTGCAATTTTTTGTCACTTTTGTGTGGACCATCATTCTTTACTGTCATTTTTGTTGCCGCTCCTGTCCCTTAAGTCTTCAGTTAACACCTAATTTAGTGGAAACTCTGGGAAGCCTAGCCTGCAAGAGGTCATGAGTCAGGTGAAGAATTCTTGGGATAAAAATCTTTGACAGCTGTGTTCACAGTGCACTATGAACAGAGTACATGGACAAGTGCTCATTCAAGGAGACCTCTATTGCTGGACCTGAAAGATTAGGGCCAATGGTTCTATAGGAAATGAAGTTGCAAGAAATTCAGGCTGGAATTTGGTGTCTGGAGAGTTATGATGATGTTCCAGAAGAAGATGCCATGACTGTAGTTCAGTAAATGTAGATTTTTGTACATGAATAAGTGAATAAATGTATTGTACATGAATAAATGTAGATTGTTGTACATGAAAAAATAAGCCATCCCCTGAAAATAAGCTCTATTGCATCATTTGGAGCAAAAAGTAATATAAGATTCAGTCTTATTTTGAGGGAAATACAGTATACATACAAGGCCTTGTCATTAGCAAATCAGAAAGTACTCACTTCTGCTTCCTATGCACAAAGTTCCAAATTGGAGTTTGTGCCTGATTGAATGGGGCTCAAATTTCATTGAATGGTTACCCAGATAAATGATCTATTCAACTACTACTAGTTGGATAAAAGATTTTGTTGATTGCTCCTAAAGGAGAGAAAATTGTCTTAGCACCTTTAGACATCAGGTGAAAGAATTTCCTTGATTTGACACCAATCACAGCCACAGAATTAAAAGAGAAGCGTAGGACATTGAAAGGGCATGGGCATTTGCTAAAGGTCAGATCCTCATTGGGTTTTATGGGTAAAAGGATTGACTTGTATTCTGATCAAGGATCTCTGTGAAATGGAAGCTAGATATAGCCTTTAATTCCCAGAACAACACAGTGAGATACACATTATTAACCATATTTATCAATCACAAACAGATTCTTGGGGGCATTTACCCATAAATCACTTAGTTAATAAGAGGATAAGATGGGAATTGATCCTTATTCTATCTGACTCTAAGGACTGAGGTCCCAGCCACTCTGTTTGCTGCCCAGGTACCACTGAGAATGGTGCCCAAACTCTTATATTCATGCGTCAGCCCTGGTGGGAGTCTATAGACTTCATGCAGGATGCTGGGACTAGAGAAAAGCTCAAATAGGGCTGGAGGTCTTTTGCTCACATTGAGTCTGTCACATAGCCCTTGGCACACACAACTGCTGTCATGTTAGGTAAAGATAGAATGGAAGTGTTTATAGAGTGCAAATGAACACTATCCTTTGCATCTTTCAGAAGGGACTGCACTAGGAGTCTAGGATGAATGGCTGGGACACGGCATGACAGGCCAGACATGACAGGCAGATCTTCTCACACTTAAAAGGGATCCTGATCACTTTTTGTCTTTTATTTGCATGGGGGTAAAATCTAGCACAAACCCACAGCCAGTAAATATCAAGGTGAGAAGAAACAAGGTGATTAAATGCTTGGCTCCTGTAAGAGTTAGATATGAGCTTTATCTGAAAACCTAACAATCCAGAGGCCAGCAAGTGTGAGCTAATGCAAGGACAGATCCTAAGACACCTAAGTAGATGCCATCTTAACAGTGCTAGTCTGTAAGACAGACTTTAACCTTACTTTCTAATGCTTCTCCATGTAGCCTATACTCCAACCACACTACCATTTTATGCTTCACAAAACTCCCCTCAACAGCTCTCTTTATAGAAGCTGGTTCCTTTTCCTGGATGTCTGCCTCTCTCTCTCTCAGTTATCTGGAAAATCCCTCCCTATCCTACAAAGCCTAACCTACTTATCTCCTCATTTAACACTATCCCTTATCCCATCACTTTGCCTTGGTGTGTTAGTCAGCTTTTTGTTGCTATGACAAAATACCCAATGTAACCACTTTAAAGGAAAAAACATTATTTTGGCTCACGGTTTCAGCCCATGGTCAGCTGGTTCCATTACTTTTAGGCCTGTGGCAAGGCAGAAATATCATGGCAGAAGGGCATGGTAGAGGAAAGTTGCTGACCTCATTCATGGAGGCCAGGAAAAGGAGAGGGAGCAAAGGGGAGGGTACCAAAGGAGAGAGAAGGAGAGGAGAGTGCAGGGGACAAAATCTAGCCATCAAGGAGATGCTCCCACGATCCACTCCCACCTCCTAACAGCTCATGCAGCTATGAACTCATCAGTGAATCCATCCATTGATGGACTTAGTACCCTCATAATCTGATCACTTCCCAAAAGCCCCACTTTTCTTTTTTTTTTTCCTTTGGTACCAGGGATCAAAAGTTCCACCTTTGAGCATTGCTGCTATGTGGACCAAGCTTTCAACACAATGAGGCTTTTGGGCAACATTTCGGATACAAACTATAACACTTGGTATAATTCTATTTTAACATTCAGCACAATTATTTGTTGACACAAGCTTTTCAGGAGACTACATGTATTTGAAATGGTCTGTCTTGGATTCACCCTTTATCCTAGTAGGGCCTGACACACAGAAGCACTTATGGTAAACATTGGTCAAGTTAGTAAAAGGAGTAACTAATGGAGTCTTAAACTAAAAATTATGCAGGATGATGAAACCTGATGATCGATACAAGTGACCTATTGTTATATCCATATTATATCCTTGATTATAATAGTGACTCATATTCATTGGGCATAAAATACTTCTGTTAAATTAGGTAATGTTAATACAATATAGTAGTAATAAACACTTATTTAATACTTAACAGTGCAGGTAATATTCTAAGCACCTACATGTATTAGACCATTTAAATTTCAAAACATCTAATAAGGTAGTTATTATTACTATTCTTATTTTACAATGGAGAAAAGTGAGGCACAGAGATTAAATAAATTGCTCAAGATCACACAGCACTAAGATACAAATCAGGAACTTAAACTCTGGCTTTGGACTCTATGTCGTTGACTATAATATTATACTTTATAAAGACAACAGAAGTTCTGCTTCATTTTCTAAATTTGCATTGAACAATTCCAGTCTTTCTTATTATTACACATGCCACTACTGATTATTTCCCTATGAAAACAAATGTTTAAGGAATGATTAGAGCTCTGACTGATACTCGTGTTTTGGATCTAGTTCTCCTTTTCTTTTCCTAGGCATTAGGATACATCCTTAAGATAATCCAAACAAAGGGAGAACAAAAGAAGGTACAAAAGAATATACCATTCCTTTCAAAGCTCTTTCTTCCTTTTCATAGTGCCATGAATTACATTTCTTTATATCATCATCATGTATTGGCTAGATTGGCAACATGCAGAACACCTCAATACTGTGTAAGTTAATAAGCCTTCTGAACACCATCAACAGAAATCACATTTCTTTTTCTAAGTGTATAACCTAAGGAAAATTTGTAATTAGAAGACACTCATATTATTCCACTGGAGTAGCTGGTCTTTGGGCACTATAAAGCAAGGAGACCTCTGGCAGTGGATTTATAGAGCCAGTAAAGAATAACTCTCTCTTGCATATCTGATTGTGTTTGTCTCTGTGGTTTTTCTTCGGAAACAACAATTTTGAGATCCCATTCATCAAGTGCTGAACATAGAAAATTCTACACATCTTTGAAACAGCATTTTCACTGGGTAGTCCAAAGGTATTTCATGAAAATCAACCAAAGAAAGAAAAATCATGCTTTCTAGCCAGCCAAATGGAAGAGGAGACTGGAGAGAAAGGATTCCTCCTAACTCTTGCAATGCCAAGAGGTTGAATGATTTATGGGTATGATCAGTGTTGCCAAACCCATATTAAAGGGGTCTTTCTCATAGAGGTGCACTACAGAGCAAATGGAAATGTTATTAGAGTAACAGCCACTTGAATGCAATTTTGGATCCTAGAGCAAAAGAAATACCAAGACCTTTGGATTTCAATCCACCTACAACCTAATATTTTATATAAACAGATGAGATAATCACCTGATATATGTTTTCCTTGATACTTATTGTTAGTTTTTTAAATTTCAATTTGTGGTGCCAGCAGACTTTTAATGATTCAAAGATGTGAATGCAAAATAGTTATTCATCAATTTAGTTCTGCTATGAAATTATAAACTTCTCATGTATTTTTAGGGAGTATTATGCTTTCATTAATATTGGGAACAAATATCTTCATCAGCAGTCATAAATGTACTTTAAAATATTATGTCATGTGATACAAGTTTATGCAAATATCTTCTTGAGTGTTGTGCCACTGCCAACTTTAATGGACACAAAGATATGAATTCCCCTTTCCTCCAGTGTTAGTGGAAGGTGCAGTTTCCAAGTGCACCTTATTCATTCATTTATTGCTTGATTCATTATACACATATGCCTGAAGATCTGCTATGGCCAGGCACTGTTATTCTGGGCTCTGTAGATACAATATAATCAAGACAACATCCCTCACAGAGTGTACAATCTAGAAAAAGAGACAGATGATAATATACACCAATATACCAGACAGACCAATAAACATATACTATGATCACAGGTAGGTAAGGGACAGATCACATAGGGCCTTGCTACTCAAAGTGTGGTCCATGGATGGTCACATCAGCACCACTTCAGAGCTCATTGGATGTGCAGAATCTCAGGGTCTGCCCTGGAACCACCACCTCAGAATCTGCATTTCAACAAATTCCATAGGTAGCTTTTATGCACTTAGAAGTTGGACAAGTGCTGTTGGGCAGGCATTCCTAAGCCTTGGTACATTTAGAGTCACCTGGGAAAAAATTTTAATTATCAATGCCATGGCCTTCTTTCCAGAGATGGTGATAAAAGTGTTCTTGGGAAGGGCCCAGTGGTGAAATGTTTACAGCCCCCCAGGACATTGTCACATGTGGGCAGGGTGAGGACCACTAAAATAGGCTGTAATATGGGTGTGATTGGAAGCTCCAAGAGACTTGTGATCTGGCAATGATGGAGCCTGATTATGTCAAGGAGGAATTCTCAAACCCAGCTGAGCAGCGAGGCAAAGGGAGCGACAAATGTGTCTAACAGAATGATGCCCTGCACTTAAAGATGGGAACTGGGATGCAATGTGGTTACCACACTGAGCACTGGAACCAAACCTATTGCACTGATGATGATGATGATGATGATGATGATGATGATGATGATGATGATGATATAACCTATTATACTTTGTTGTTCACAGGCAGGAAATAATTCCACTTTCAGGGAAGAAATCATAAAAACATCCACACTAAAGCTAAGATCAAGGCCAAATGCAGTCAGTCACTTTTTCTCTCATTACATACATTACATACCTGGGGACCTTTAATTCCCAGAGTTCCTTTTTCTCCTTTTGCACCAACTTCTCCTCTTGGGCCCTAGATACATAGAATTCAAGCGTTATTTTCTTCCTAAAAAAGAACACTGGGATGCTAACTTGAATATTAAAAGTAAAAGTGTTAAGTCAGTGACAGGGGGAGAAATTGGAAGAGGGGTACAATTATGCCTCTGGTTCTTGACTTTTTCAAACTCTCCTGATGTGTGTGGGGATATCATAATCCAGCGAAAAATTTAGGTGATTGGGCATTTGCAAAGGGACTGGGGCTTGGAAAAATGGTGGATAATTGGTTGCGCTTTGGGGAACTGCTTCCTTTTCTTTTCTTTCTTTTTTTTTTTGTTTAAAGTACTGGGAGGCCTGAGCTACATCCTCAACTCTTTTTATTTTGAGATAGATTCTAAGTTTCCCAGGCTGGCCTTGAAGTTGTGATCTTCATGCTTCAGCCTCCCAAATAGTTGTTATTACAGGGCATGCCACCGTGCCTGACTCAATATTGTTTTCTAATTGTCCTCAACATCTTCATACTCTGAATCTGTAGCAGACACCTTTGCCCAGTATTAGCGGGCTATATTGGCACAAGCTTCTTGCCCCTCCATAATTTGGCTATTTACATTGGAAGTAGCAGAGCTTGGCTGAGTTCACTCCCAGTCAAGGTCAACTGACTCCAACTAAATTCTTCCCCTCTGGATTAACGATTTGTTCTCTTCTGCAAAGATGTGCTTGTTCCCTCATTCTACAGTCCTACCTGATTGATACCTGTTATCAGCAGGTGTCCCAAGGCCTGCCTAGTTTCCCTCCTTCCCACACTTGTAATGAATAAACACTGAATGTCCTGGGAGTTCTTTGTCTTGGCTGCTCAGAGCAGCTTAGATGAGCCCAAGTCTCTGTCTCTGTGTTTCTTTTAATTCCCACTTTCCTATCTCGTGGACATCATACTGGCTCACAGGAGGCCAGGAGGACCACTGCAGGGCTCTCTGGGAACTCCCATTACCCTTTCTCTATGTGAATCCATACATTTCTTAGGTTAAAAAGAAAGATATCCTTAATTATCTAAACCTGAAATCATAATATTGAAATGTTTCCTATTCAATAACTACTCTAAAGCCTCATCATAAAAAAGATATGGCACATGGCCAGATGAAATACAGATATTTCTACTTTTGCAATATCTGTTGCCTCTTAGCTATGGCTTCTGTGTTTTACACAGAGAAACCATGCTGCATCTGGGTTTTGCTTCTCCTTTTAAATTATGTTGTGAGAAAGAAGTAAGGGTTAATAAAATGGAAAAAAGGCTGCTGTAGTATCATTTGTTTAGCATGAAATAAAAGCAGTCTACTGAGATGTTTCCTCACAATCCCAGTGGCAAATATTTCTCATTTAAAAGTAAGAAAAGAGCACTTCTCAGCTGGCAAGTAGCAGCAACAAAAAGCAATCAAGCTAGAGAAAGATAAAGATTCAAGGGGAAGACTGTCTTACTGCTTGGAAAGCTTGGTACTATTTGGATAAAATTTCTCTTCTGATGTTTAAGGGTATTTTTCTCCACTTCAAAGCACTGAGCTGCCAACATATAATGCTTTCCCTTTTTTTTTAACTGCGTAGTTTAAAACTTTGAAAATAGCAGAACCATGGATGGTCCCTGATTTATAATGCTTTTAAAGCTAAGTTTGAGGGGGAAAGAAAATGCCTTTTTTTATGGCCTGACTTCTTTCTTTCATCTCAGCATTTGCATTTGTTCCTTTCCTTTCTCATTATTAATTTAGGCTACATTTTGCCCTCCCTGGCACATACTTCTTCATCTGTGATCAGTGTAAAGAGCCAACTATGGCTTGTTCCTTGCAAAGGAAAAAGGACTGGAGGCAGCTCCCTTGAGAAGCCAGCTGGAAAGGACTGGCTGAGTGCCACACTATAGATCACCCTGCTGAATGCTCCAGCTGTATTTGGAACAATTCTTTCCTAGAGCAGAGCCAATTTTTCAACATCATGGCCATCCAAATATGTAACACAGAGCTATTACTGTGCTAAACTGACCACAATTCCCAGATTTGAGGCTCAAAATTTTCCTTGGCTTACGGTCTTCCTGGATTACCCTAACGACCCTGAACTCAACACACAGGGACTGCTGCCAAGGTTGCTTATTCTCATTCCACTTCTTTCTTGACTGGGGACAAAGCTTAGGTAAAAGAGACCAAGTGCAGCACAAGTCAACTATGTTGCTTCCTTACTACCCTGAAAATACTTTACGCACCTGCAATTCTGCAAGGTGTTTTGAGGGTTTCAATCAAGGGTTCAGACTTCCACATCCAGATTCCTCTGCATAGTCTCATACCCTGCTTGACTTTGATACATACCTGAGGGCCCTTAAGTCCCAAGGAACCTTCGAGCCCATCTGGGCCTGGGATGCCTGTATTTCCCTGTAGTGAGAATCAACCTATTAATACTGTTTCCTGACAATTTTGTTTTCTTATGCCCCAGATTATAAACATTTTTTCAATTACAATGGCAATGAAGGATCTTTGAAAAAAATGTACAAAATGAGAACAGAAATAAAAACCTAGAATATCATCAGGCAGAAGTAACCACAATCAACACATTGGTGTATTCATTTTCAGACTATAAATGTATATGCACATGTTCATATTTATACACATTTTTCAATAAAATGGAAATTATGTCATATCTATCTTGAGTATACGACCTGAAACTAACTCACAATTTACCTCACAATTTCTTCAAACATCTTCAGGTATCTTACAACATTAAATTCGTATTCAAATAGATGAAATGTCTAAAGATTGAAAATTAAACTTTCTCTTCCCATTGTTCTGAATTCCAGAAAGAGTGAGGAAGGATTTAAAAAGCTAAATTTAGACAACTATTAGGATGGCCTAGGTTTATGTCTCAATTGTTACAGGGTTGGATGTGATTAAATGTCCCTCACTGATATGGATTCCTAGAAGTCAGAAATTTCTTAACACCTTTTTCTAATCACATTTCATTTATCGCATGCTATTTTGCTGATTTCTAACCTTGAAGTGTGTTATAGTCTAAATGTGTATGAACCACCTTGCTCCTATTGATGTGCTGAAATTGATGACCTACGCACTGGTATTAAAAGGTGGGACCCTTGGAAAGTGATTAAATTATGAAGGCTCCACCCTCATAATTCAGATGAGAGACTTTATAAAGAGCTCAAGGAAGCTGTGAGCCCTTTCCACCATGACAGGATGCAACAAGAAAGCACCACGTTTGGAGCAGAGGACCAAGCCCTCACTAGATGTTAAATCTGCCCATGCCTTGATAGTGAACTTCCCAGCTTCTTGAACTTTAAGAAATAAAAGTCTGTAGTTTATAAATTACCCAGTTATAGTATTTTGTTACAGCAGCAAGAACAGACTGAAACAATATGTATGTGTGTGTATGTGAAGGGGGTGTACATCTGCGCAGATGGTAAACTTTCTTTTATGAAAGTGTCTATTTTACATTTACTCAGATTAGCTAGGTATAAATTTTTTTTTTTTTTTTTTGTACAGGGGATCGAATTCGGGTCCTTGCGCTTGCTCAGCAGGCGGCGAAACCACTGAGCTAAATCCCTGGCCACAGCTAGGTATAAAATTTTAGGTTCTTTTTTTTCCCTCTGCATCTTTAAGATATGGCTCTATTTTTCTCCAGAATGTACTATTGTTTAACACAAGTCTGCTGCAATGTAATTGGTTGCTCATTTCATGAGTAAAATTATTTTTTCTCTCTGGTGATATTTAAAGTGTCTTTTTTTCCTTAACCTTTTTGGAGTCTCATCAAGATGTGATTGAGAGTGGATTACTTATCCACATTAATTTTTAATCTGAAGTTGTGATTTTTTTTTTACAGAATTGTAAGTTACAATTTCTTTTTATTAAATAGTGTAGGTTCATGAAGCACATATAACACCAGTACGTGCAAAAGAGATGAAAAGGCATTTGATATAAATTTTGAAAAATTCAGAATATTCAATATATTGAGACTATCCATTGTATTTTCCTGGTTTATATGAGGCCTTTTTTTTTTTTTTTGTACCTGGGATTGAACTCAGGACCTTGTGCTTTCAAGGCAGGTGGCAGAACCACTGAGCTAAATCCCCAGCCCTATATGAGGCTTTATACATAATAAGGTTTAAGAGTTAATTTAACAAAAATCTAAAAGTTTACCCACAGAGTTATTAGTTTGAATGTCAAAGTTAGATTTAACCACAATGGAGTTAAATATTTTGGTCATTAATTTTTAATGGTTCTTTTATTGAAGGAACCCACACTTTCATTTTCTTAATTTGAATTCTTAAAATTATAGCCCAAACATTTAAAAACATTTAACTTTATAACCAATATCATTAAAAAGCAATAACTCTTTAGGCTGAAAGGACTTTATAGAACATTTGTTTTCCATTTCTTTGCTATGACTTGGAATATTTATCATTTGGATATAAGAAAAAAAAGTCATTGGGAGACCCCTGGTCACTCTACACCGGCAGCCCGCTCCCCACTGCGGTCATGGTACAGATGCTATGCCATGTGGCATCTGAATCTGCACAGCAGAGGTGCCAAGGGGGAACATAAAGGCCATGGCTATGAGCCCCAGAAGATAGAGCAGAAGTGAACAACAGAGAGGGCCTTTCTGGCGCTCCTCAATGAAAAGTGAAGCCCACTGGGAAAGTGAAGAAAAACTCTTCAATAAAAGCACACTGGACCATTGTGGTTGGTAAGTTGGTGGGATCAGTACTTCCCATAGAAACCTGGGCTTGCATAGCAGGGAGGAGAGCAGCTGGAACCTGCAGTACAACCTTGCAGAGTTTAATCCTGCAGGAAGTCAGGGACCTCAACTTGGACCTTGCAGCCAGAAATCAGTCTGAATCTCAGTAGACTACAGCTGGCATGCTGAGACTAATCAACTTAGAACTGCACATTGCTACCCACATTGCCTACCAGGACAGCAGAGACACATCCTGAGGGAGATCTTTTTGGTTGGTTTGTTTGTTTTGTTATACATATTTTTTTCTTTTCTTTTCTTTTTTTCTCTCTATACCTTCTGGCTCTATATTTCTCTCCCTCTTTGTTCCTGTTCCTGTCCCATTCTGAATTTTTTCTCTCTCTCTGTCCTCTCAACTGTCACTTTTATAGGAAGGTGAATACAATTTCTAGCTTCCCTATTGTTGTCAGTTAGTTCTGTACTTGTCTCTGTTCTTTTGCTCTGTCTTCTCCTGTCTTCAACAGATCTCCACAATTTGCATAATCTTCCCGTGTTCTCTAGCCTCACCTCTAACCTTTCCCTCTCCCTCTATCTTTCTACCCCTCCCTCCCCAACCCCTGCTAAATCCTTATCCTGAAGGGTAAATTTGCCATATTGAAGGGTTTACTTACTACAAACATATTTTGGGCTGTCCCTAGATTTTGATCTAGCTCCTGCAGTTAAAGGTGACAGATTAACTGCTACCACAAATTGTCATTATCTAAGCTGTGTTTGATGCTGATTGTGTCAATTGGGCTAAGGTGTTGTGATTGATCTAATCAGTTGTCCTTCCTGGTATACTGAAAATGAGAATGCCTTAGAGTCATTAGACTCAAAGACTAAAAAGTCTAGCTATACCTGGAAGATATCTCTGAGAAGCAATCACTCCATAGGGGCTCTAAACATCAGTAATAAAGATACTCAAAATGAGAAATATTGGAGTATCAGCCCAGGAATTAAAGCAAAAAACAGCACCAATAACAGAATTAAAAACGAGAAGGCACTTTGGCAGGACACAAACACAGACTTCCAACTCACCAAAGGCAAATTCTGGGGTAAACAAGGTAGAAAAATATGATAATCAACCACCTGGACACCCTGAACTGATAGCACAGGAAGGAACAAAACAGATGAACAAGGCTCTAGAAAAATTTAAAACAGAAATAATTTCCCAGATAACTACAGAGATGGTGAGCAGAGTGAAAGACATGATTAGAGGCTCTAGAACAGAAACAGATAAAAAAAATAGATGAGCTCAGAACCACACTGGAATCCATAAATGCCCAGCATAAGAAAGAAATGGAATCCATGAAACAGTTTCAAAGAGATATCCAGGAGATTAAAAACTCCATTGAAAGTATCCACAGCAGATTGAGCAAATGTGAAGATAGAATATCAGATAGAGAAGACAGGGTCGTGGTTAGTGACCATGAAAACAGAGATTTCTTCAAAATGGTAAGGGACCATGAGAAATCAGTCCAGCAGCTGTTAGATGATGCAAAGAAGAATAACATAAGACTGATAGGTGTCCACTAAAAAGCAGGAGAAAGTACAAATGACATAAAAAATTGTTCATAGAAGTAATAGTAGAAAACTTCCCAGACAGATGTAAAGAATTTGACATACAGATAAGCGAGGCACATGATAAACCAAATAACCACTAATACAATTGTAGTGGGGGACCTCAATACTCCACTGCCACAAATAGACCAATCATCTAGAGAAAAAATGAAAAACAAAATTCTAGAACTGAACCAAGCTTTTGAACAAATGGATTTAATAGATCTCTACAGAGTGTTCCACCACACAAAATCAGAATACACATTCTTTTCAGCTGCACATGGCTCATTCTCCAAAATAGATCACATGCTAGCTCATAGGGCATGTTTAAGTAAATGCGAAATAACTGAAGTTACCCCCTGTATATAATCAGACCATAGTGCAATAAAATTGGAGATCAATAGCATAAGAAACTGCAAAACCCCCAGAAACACATGGAAATTGAATAACACTCTCCTAAACAACCAATGGGTTACAGAGAAAATTAAAGAAGGAATTAGACAATTTCTACAAGTAAATGATAATGCCAGTAGAACATACAGGAACCGATGGAAGACAATGAAAGCAGTTTACAAGGGAAATTCACAGCAGTGAATGCCAATATTAGGAAAACAGAGAGATGTCAAATAAACAATCTAATGTTGAACCTCAAGCTCCTTGAAAAAGAAGAACATGACAAACATAAAGCTCATACAAGAGAGGAAATTATAAAGATCAGACCAGAAATCAATGTAATAGAGACTAAGAGAATGATACAAAAAAGTCAATGAATCAAAGAGTTGTTTTTTTGAAAGAATAAATAAATTCAATAAACCCTTAGCTAACCTTATCAAAAAAAGGAAAGAAAAGGCTCAAATCCATGCAATTAAGAATGAAAAAGTTGAAGTCACAACAGATCCAACAGAAATCCAGAAGATCATCAATACCTACTTTGAGAACTTGTACTCTAATAAAATGGAAAACACAGAAGAAATGGACAGATTCCTAGATACATACGAATTGCCAAAGTTAAATGAAAAAGATACAAAATTCTAAACACTCCAATTACAATTAGTGAAATTCAAAACGTAATTAAAAATTTGCCAACAAAGAAAAGCCCAGGCCCTTATAGCTTCACTGCTGAATTCTACAAGATATTTAGAGAAGAAATATCACCATTACTCTTTAAAAATTGAAAAGAAAGCAATACTTCCAAATTCATTCTGGGAAGCAAGTGTTACTTTGATTCCAAAACCAGGGAAAGACCCAACCCAAAAAGAGAACTACAGGCCAATCTCCCTAATGAACAT